TAGGATAATGAGATAGATGTTACCAACGCCAAACTATTTCTATTGGTTCAGAATAGACAACAATCACATAATTGAGCCCTGATTGGATCAGACGCTAATGGACTCGGCATACAGGAGTGGGGAAAAGTGTCAACTTGTTTTAACGCAAACTCTGATTTTCTAATCTTATCTATCCAACCTGAGCTTTTTTTGCAAATAAATTTTTACAAATGATTTTTGTTTTAAATTAATAACTATGTTTTGAAATTGATCACTAAATAAAGAGGACTTGAGCTAAGATCTGAATTCTTCTTCTCTCTCAGAATTTTCTTTTTAAATAAACTAATGTTCTTTTTTACTAATTCAGTCTGACAGAACAGAAACGCCTCCCGAACCGGCTGAGAACGGAGACAAACTTCACCGCCGAGAAACCAAGATGTCTCAAGATATTGGGACAACGACTCTACGACGTTCCTTCTAAGTTGTTGCCTCAACATAAACGAGCAACATAATCGCTATAGAGTCTAAAAGATATGAGGAACATGAAGAAAATAAACCATAATCTCTCTTCAACATCCTAGACAGTAGCGTGGAACCATCAATGTTCCGCGTGAGTCTAGTCCTCAAGTATAATGTTTTCTCTTTTACCGTGTTCATGCAGCCTAAACGAAACGAGGAACACTAAGTGGCTGAAGGGACTTAATGTCTCTTAAATAACCTATTTCATATTAGCAAGGAACCATCAATGTTCTACGCTAGTATGTTTCTTAATTACATAGTTTCTGAATTTTACCTTCTAGCTTTCCTTTACCTCGGATATGTAGCTTCAAGACTACATATAGTTAAAATAATATGCAGACATATCAACGAAGAACCGTCAATGTACTTCGTTGGTAGAGCTCTCAATTTGTGTGTTTTTACATAGTCTATACAGCCTTGATACCAATTTTTCCTTAAAAATGTATTCTCAAACTGATTTCTACATAACTCTCTCAAAGTATATGTAAACGATTTTGATGTAAAATATTTTTATTCAATCCACATAAACTTTTCTCTTCAACAACCTATTTTACGTATTTAATAATCCACTACTTTGTTGGTATAATTCTCAATTTGTATGTTTGCATAGTCTAAGTAGCCTTGATACCAAATTTTTATTTAAAAATGTATCCGTAAATTAACTCCTATATAATTCTCTCAAAATATATGTAAACGAGTTTGATGTAAAATTGTCTTATTTAATCCATGTAAAATATTTTGTACGATTTAAATAATCTCGATACGGAGATAATAAATATCTAGATCTTTAAAAAAGATTTTCTAATCCCTATATCGGAGCAACCCAAGGGCGTAGAACTTTAATAATTCAATCAGTGAATTCTGAAAAATAAAATATTCTAAGTTTAAAATATCATAGGATTACACCATCAAGTTGCAAAGATATATGGATTAGAAAATTTGAGTTTGTGACAAAGGCTCAATTCATTTATAAATTATTCCTTTTAAATAAAAAAAGATGATAAAAGAAAATGTTGTGTTTATGCAATGCCTATCTATCTATCTATCTATCTATCTATCTATCTATCTATCTATCTATCTATCTATCTATCTATCTATCTACCTATCTGTCTGTCTGTCTGTCTGGGTGTCTGTCTGTCTATCTATCTATCTATCTTTCTATCTATCTATCTATCTATCTATCTATCTATCTACCTATCTAGTTATGTTCTATACCCATCTCTGTAAAGCGTTAAAGCGCTTAGTTTTCCTGTGGTCAGCAGTCAGGCAGCATACATATACTGCCTTGAGGCAGGGTTTAGGCCATACCAATTTATACAGTGACAACCATTTATAATCATACTTAATATTCCTTCATCATTATTCTTTTTTCACTTTAATTTCAATTTAAAAAGTAAAAGTAAAAAATCCTTTTTATTAAAGAATGGTTTTTATTACTCAGCTTTACAAACATTTCGAAATCGATTTTATTTTTATAATAATACACTCTATTCGTTTCGATTAATGTCAGTGGCAACAAAAATTGTTTTTTTTTAATTTAAAAAAACTCACTATTTAATCCGGGCTAGTGTACTATTTAACGGTATTTTTGGGAGGTTTTTCTGAATATTTATTAAGAGATATAATTTGTGTTTATTGTCAACAAAAGGACCTAAATAAACATGATTTTGCAATTTGAGTTTATTCATTAATTTCCTAATTTCGACATATATGGTTACACACAAAAGATGAGACTGTAAAGACGACTTTAAACTCTTTAAATATGACAATCCTAAGTTAATATTTGACGAAGCAAGACAGAAGTTTCGTATAGTCGTCTCTGAAGCTTCATCCTTTGTGGGTAACCTTCTACATATAAAATTAAATCAAATGTTTAAATTAATTAAAATCTTTTTCATCTCTGTACAGGTTTGAAAGGAATATAATTTTATAAATTACGCCAGATTTAGAGTGAAAACTGCGTCACAGTACGCTTAAACATGTTTAAACTATATTTTATCAGATATAGTGAAAAATGTGCAAAGTATAGATAAAACAGGCAACTTACAAATACATACTCAACAGTTTCATGTTCTGTCAACAAAACTATATTTGAAAATATAAATCAAGATTGAAGACTGAAGAGTGAAATTGAACAAACCATTTTTATTTTTTTTTATTAATTAGCAATTTTATCAGATATTTTCCTTAAACATTTAAAACATGTAAACTGTATTCTGATTTTAATATATTAAATAAAACTTTGAAGTTAATACAAAGAGAAAGTATTGGGGGCTTCAAAACTTGGACCGTAAATTTTAAATAAAAAATTCACTATTAGCTAAAATTTACCAAAAGTTTCTTCCACCCAAAATGAATAGTAAAATATCTACCCAACCCCTATCCTCCTTACATATTTTAAACTAATACTGCACACCCCAATCCTTACATTAATATCATGTATACACTGTTATTATGTACAGTGCTTACCATACAAAGCCGTCCTCAATATTTTTTTAAACATGAATTTGAAAATTTAAAAATCCCATCCTCAGCGAAATTTCTGATTTAAAGACTGAACGAAGAAGACAATCATTCTGCTAGCCCATTTCGCTTTATAATACTATTACTTGCTTTATGGCCTTTTTCTTTCATGATTTCCGCTATCACCAACTCTTTAATTTTATGAACCCCTCCCCCTTCCTCTCTTATAAAGATGGTCTTAGATCACGTGTGTAATCAACATTCCTAATCTCAAGTACATACTCTACGGACCCTTGTCCTTAAAGTTTTATTCCTTGGTTAGAAAACTGACCATACCTTAGCTCTTCTTCAATCTTCGTGTAATAAATGGCTTTAAAGTCCTATCCTGCATAAATGCAAATTGCATTTATGTTGCAGTACGAGACAGACAAGACAGACAAGACACAAGACAGACAAGACATACAAGACAGACAAGACAGACAAGACAGACAAGACAGACAAGACAGACAAGACAGACAAGACAGACAAGACAGACAAGTGGGGGGGGGGTGGAGAAGAGGGGGTAATATTAAAGGATGCAGTTTTTTATCACCACATTCTTTCATGTTTACCCTAAAAAGGTTAAATCTAAATTTGAAAAATTAAGGAATAGTTAATTTGTCAAAAAATATATGAAGAGTATGTTATCAAATAAAATATTATTTGTGAACGCAAAACATGCTAGGGTTAAAACTACCTTGAACTGAGAAACTTTAGAATTTGCATCTAGAAAATTTTAAATTAAAAACAGTTTGAATTCGAATTTTGCACAGAAGAATTGAATACATGCTAAAGATGAAAATTAGATTTAGACAATGATATGAAAATAATATGTATATAAAAAAGGTGTTCATTTTTTAAACGTTGGTGTAATGGGTGGGAGAAACTAGACATTGTGTATACACTGTATAACACTATGCAAACAAAGCAATGCAGCTAAAATATAAAAAAATGTATGATTTGATGAAAAAATCATTGTTTTTGTTATTTGGATAAATTTGTTAAAAAGGAAGCAAAAATGCATGTTCTGGACCAATGAACCACAAACTTAAAATACATCTTTCATAATAAAAATCAAAACGTTAGTTTGCAATAAAACATTACTTTGAAAAGCCCGTAGACTAAGGGTGATCAAAAATGAAATTAAGCCAACCGCCCACCAGAGGTTGCTGCTTTTTCACTTAAAGAAAATTGCTAACAAAAAAAAATCAAAAAATGTGCAAATTTCCTTTGACAGGTTGTTTGCAAAAAATTTGCAATTTTTTTTCGCAAAACTTATGCACTTCGTTTCCTTATGTCAAAGGCTTTCCAAAAAAATAAATTTTATCAAAATCTGACAAGTGGAAGTGGGTCAAAACAAAGATTTAGTTTGTTACAGGAAAAAGCAGTCATTCAGGCAGTGTGCCTGAGGACTCAGGCAGTTAATATTAAAGCCCGGTTTTAGGCCCAAAGGAGGGCTTTGGGTATGTAGGAAAAGTCAGAAAATTTCAACAGCCTCAGACCAATACTTTTTGAGTTATGTAAAAAAACTACGGGGGGGTCAACCCCCCCCCCAGCAGGAATAGGGTTAAAATATTCTCCATATTTTGATATTGTTGGTGACAGAAAATATGTTTGACTCATCTATAGTTCTAAAGTTTTTTCAATGTTTTGAATTTGATTTGTTTTCAGTTTATATTCAGTTCCAGAATAATCATGAATATCACACATCAAATAGATTTACAAAAGGATGTGGGAAAAATATTAATGTAATTTAAACAATTAAATTTGGTGAACATTTCAAGCTTTAACATTTTGAGATTTCAGTAAAATGTTTTTTCAACCTATTTTATTTTTGCAAGGTTTGCAGACAGGCAGTACACTTTACAAAAGGATAAACAAAATAATAAATTCATCTGAATCAGTCTAGTTTAAGATTAAAATGACGCAGTGTAAAATTTGATCATACATATATATATATAAAGAAATGATTTTGATCTACTTCACTTTTTTAATGTAAAATTTAGTGATTTTTTTCAGATTTTAACTAAGTTTGTTACCAGTGGTTTAAAGTACCCCATCACCCAGAGAGTCTTTAGTGCAAAGGCGCATCAAAGGATTAAGGTGCGCATAGGCGCACAAGAGAGCAGAGAAGTCTGAAAATGTGGATTCTTGTTTTTATTTGCGTTTTTTCCATGTCTCTTGGGGAGAATCCAGGTAGATTTAAATTTTTAAACCATTGAAAAATTTAATACCATGCATTTTTGGTATTTTTCACAGAACAGTAAAAAAAATGTAATAAATTTCCAAATTTAATTTTTATTTGATTTTTTTAGTTTATTCACTTTTATACTTCTTTCTCGTTATTGTTTTCATCCTTGACATATATGTGTTCGTTTATCAATCAATCTTTTGTAGATATTTGAATAATTTTTAAATTATTTTTTAGAAGAATTGCCTCCACCACCTTTTATAATCCTTCCGCAAACCACAAAATCAAGGAAATACTTAAATTCCAAAAAATCTTTCAAGTTACCAATTCAAAATGGCGTCCATGGTAAATCCTTCAAGTTACCAATTCAAAATGGCGTCCATGGTAAATCCTCCAATTTACCAATTCAAAATGTTGTCATAGATGATAGTTGTTATAATGATGATTCGTGTTTCCTGAGTAAACATTTATTTAGTTAAACCAATAAACAACCCTGCCAATTCGACCCCCCCAGGGTAACCCTCATTTCTAACTATTTTATCCCCTCCGGGCCCCCCCCTCACCTCTCCTTCTTTTAATACTTTTTCCTAGTCACCCACCCACTGAGATTTTTCCGATGTAGGTACATCATGGTTTGAATAGTTTAACACAAATTGGTTGTCTGCTGTCCAATAAGATAAATGAATGAATGAATTAATGAAGTTGAAGGAATGTGTGAATGTTTAAAGGGAGTGTTCACGAAAAATGAAAGGGGGTATAGGCTTATGTCAAAAAATATTCGATGGTGATTGCTACTAATCTTTCTTCTCTTTGTTGCGTCTGTAAGGAGAAAATTGTTAAAAACGACTCATACCGAAGAACGTAGCGTCCATACAAATTCAGAAAGTTTCAATATTCGACTCGGATCGTAAAAAATTCAATTTAATTCAAAATAAATCATTTAGGTATCACAACCTATAATCATCAATTTTTTTCGAAGCATTCCCATATAGTTGATATTTTAAAATATTTTTGATTTTTTTGGGGGCTAATATTTCGCTTCCAACTTGTTTTCGCGGCTGGTGCTAGATTTTTTAACATTCCTGGAAAAGATGATAATAGAAATGAATGTTTTCAAAAGTAACTCTCGGATCATAAAAAATAAAAATTAAGAAATATAATGAAATATCAACTATATAGCAAACGTTGAAAAAAAATGATGATTATAGGTTGTGATACCTAAAGGATTTGTTTGGAATTAAATTTAATTTTGTATGATCCGAGTCGAGTATTGCAACTTTTTAAATTTGTATGGACGCTACGTTCTTCGGTATGAGTCTTTTTAACAATTTTCTCCTTATAGACGCAACAGATAGAAGAAATATTAGAAGCGATCACCATCGAATGTTTTTGGACGTAAACTTATACCTCCTTTCATTATTTGCAAACACTCCCTTTCAGGTCAACAGTTCATCGCGCTGTTACTAGCGGGGAGAACCTCTCGTTAACCCTATCACGGTCGGGAGGGGGATTCATCCTCCCCCTAAGGTTTATTTTGAATAACTTAAAAATGGCTTACATTAGAACGCTAAAACTTCTTCACTTTTTCAACATCATAGTTGTGAAAAAATTTAGCTAAAACATTTTTTTGTTGATTCATAGGGTAGGGTGGAGAATGGTCAAACGGCGGGTCGGTGTTTAAAAAAATTCAGAAATGGTTAATTACATTTTTATTAATTAAACTACAGGGCTAAGATTTATATATTTGAAAAAGGCCTCGAAAAATGGATATAATTATGTTAATATGTTAATATTTGTGAAAAGTAATAATAATTGTTTTTAAAATTTTTACCGACATTGTTTTAGAACTTTTTAAAAATCCTCCCTTGCACTCTAACCATTAAAGATCCTTCCATACACCGTAACCATTAAAGTAGGAGTAATAATTTTTTTCATGAGCAGGCCTTGAAAAGTTTGGGTAAAAGTAAATTTCCAGGAAAGGAGAAATAAACCAATTTCAGAAGTCTAGGGTGGGGCACTGCCCTTTTCCCCCCCCCCCCCCCCCCGTTGTATACGTTCTTGTATATATTTCCAGCAGAATTATTTTAGTCTTTGGATCAATTTCAATCTTAAATTAACTAGAATAAAACTGTTTTAACGTATACCTCCCCGGATTAACAAAAGAATCAGATTGAAAAGAATTCTAATATTTGAATCTGCAGTAATGTTAAAGTGTCAATGGTACCTGAAGAAAATGTTCATATTATAATGCCTGCACAGACATTTGGTAAGGCCCATTTTTTCAAAATTTATAAATTTATATTTTTTAAATCTTCATACAATCTGTAAGATTTTTTGAACCCAAATAAAAACAATTATTTTAAAGTTCTTCATTAACAAAAGTATCTTCAGAAGAAGCATCACAACCTTCATCATCATCATCACCATCATCACCATCATCACCATCATCATCATCATCACCATTATCACCATCATCAACAACTAGTTCATTTCGTCCAACTTCATTTCCACAAAGAACATCAGTAATGGATGCAGCCACCACAGCAACTACAGAGGAAGCTATTGAATCCTTTACGTCATCCACAAAACCTGGAGCTTTGAAATTTCCTGCTCGCACAACAGAAAAAACTTCCTTTCTCCTACCAACAAGAACACCAATTGGTTCAGAATCATCAACTAACTCGGGAACAAAACGGGTAGATGGGTTTATTTTTCAAAGAGTAAATACCAATCTGTTTAAAAACTTAAATGGTTCTAAACCTCTGGAGGATGGGAAAGTATTAAATGAGAGCAGTGAAGAAAATACTGAAGATGAAGGAGAAGATATCAGTGAGGAGAAAGAAGACAAAAAAGAGAAAAATAAAAATATAACAGAAGAAAAAGAAATGCTTGAAAGCGAAAAGAACAAAAATGATGATTTTGACAAGGAAGACAATGGAGGCATAAACGTTGACAATAAAGACGTAAATGTTGACAATGAAAAATTAAATGTCGAGGATGCAGACTTAAATGTTGAGAATGAAGATGAATCAGTGGTAGATGAAGCTCCAAAAGATGAAAGCCATGTTGAAATAACTTCAGCACAGAAAAAGAATAAGAATAAGAATAAAACTTCAGACCAACCAAGGAACATGAAAAATAGCCCTTTAATGAGACATGCTTTGTAAACTTAAGTTACTCTACTTTTACAATTTACAATTTTATCTCTTAACTTTTAATCCAAGTTAATGAATCAGAATCCCATCAATGGTCCCCAGTAGAACCCAAATCTTACTAAAAACTTCCTAATCCCTGTTAAAGCCAAAGGTGTGGGCAGTTGGCAATACCCCCCTTTTTTATTGTCCTTTAAATAACTTCATCATTAGTTTACAAACTAGTTTTTTTGCCGGCTAATTGTTTGGTCTCATAGGATTCAAGACAACTCACACTGGAAAGAGAAATCAAGGTAAAAAAATAAGAATATGAAAAATATTGTTTGAATCAATTTTGGGCACTTTGGTTGAAAAGTTTACAGTCATACATAGATTTTTTGAGTTGTCTAAATATAAAATTACGATGACATTTTCAAACAAAAAATCCCTGTTTACTCGTATTCTATTGTTGTTGTTTTTTTTTCACCAGATTCAATATCAGTTCTTCAACTATGGTTGTCAAGTTTATTTCTGAAATGACTGGACTCACCGTTGTTCTTGTAGAGGTGAGAGAAATACAAAGTAAAAGGGCTGTAAGCGTAATTTAAAGTGACCTTCCAGGAAAATATTCAATGCTGGACTTTTAACGATACATTTGAAACCTTAACTCTGATATCTGTGTTTATTAATACTTGATCAAACACAAATTTCGAGGGTACCGTTGTAAATCGGGTGTTGCAAACTTTGCATAAAGGGTCACTTGAATTTACGCTTACAGTCCCTTTAAGAAAATTGAAAAAAAAATATATTTCCAATTGCAGATGAAAATGAAGAAAAAACACCTTTCCACATGTTTACGCCAAACTTTCTTCTTTAACATATTCAGTTGTAATCTGTTATCTTTACATCAGTTTCATGTTTTCAGTCGGAGTCTCCTATTGTCAATGGATATTTCTGTCTGGCGACTGAAGCGCACGATCATGATGGATTACCGCACACTCTTGAACATCTCGTCTTCCTTGGTGGGTTCAATCAATCAAGCAAATGTCAAAATCAAAATAGAATCTATTTCTTTTTTTTATATTTGTTTATCAAATTTTAGGAAGTGAGGAATATCCCTATAAAGAGGTTTTGGATCTTTTAGCCAACAGGTAACAAATCAAATAAAACTAATAAAAAAGTATTTTAACCCATTTAACAAAAAGGTCTAAACTGAACTTGATAGAATCATGGAGCAGGGTTTATACATTCAGATTTTAAAATCAGATGAAAGGAAAGCATAACAATCCTTTGTGCCTTTTTATAACACTTATATGCTTGAGAGGAAATGATTTCTCTCATAAAACTTCAATTTTCTGACCATATATCTTTGTAATCCTTATCCTTTCCTTTCCTTTTCCTTTTATTTCTATTTTTATATCTTTTAAGAATTAATGGGAAATATTCCCACAACCTCTACTTTTAGAGGTTTTTAAATATTTTCTCCTGAAACACTTTATTTTGTATGTTTTTGTTATATTTCATAAATAAATAATTTTTTTACTTTTTTTACTTTACTTTTTTATCTGATGGGATAGACCTTTTGTATTTGAAACTAGGAGTTCTATTAGAATATATTTGATATAGAAAGGTTTCACGGGCAGCCGTAGTACATTTGAATTTCCGAGCCGGGTCAGCCTTTCCGGTCCCAGGTTGTACTGTACCTAGCTCTATGGACAGGACTAGCTGGTGCAACAAGGCTTACGCGGTCAGACTTATGCTTCATATAGGTTGAATTTACTTTTAGTAAAGGGACAGACGTGCGTGGTTTAAACCATCATGTTAAAAAGATATAAATAAGAGTTTGATGCTAACGATCATTCCTGTGCTTAACGAATCGGATTTAATTTTTAATATCACATTAATTGTATATTTTTAGCTATGTTTAGCTGTGATTAATTGTATATTTCTAGATGTTTATCTGTGATTAATTGTATATTTCTAGATGTTTATCTGTGATTAATTGTATATTTCTAGATGTTTGGCTGTGATAATTGTATATTTGTAGATGTTTGGCTGTGATAAATTGTATATTTCTAGATGTTTGGCTGTGATAAATTGTATATTTCTAGATGTTTATCTGTGATTAATTGTATATTTCTAGATGTTTGGCTGTGATTAATTGTATATTTCTAGATGTTTAGCTGTGATTAATTGTATAGGTTTAGATGTTTAGCTATCATTAATTGTATATTTCTAGATGTTTGGCTGTGATAATTGTATATTTGTAGATGTTTGGCTGTGATTAATTGTATATATTTCTAGATGTTTGGCGGTAATAATTGTATATTTGTAGATGTTTGGCTGTGATTAATTGTATATTTCTAGATGTTTGGCTGTGATTATTGTATATTTCTAGATGTTTGGCTGTTATTAATTGTATATTTCTAGATGTTTATCTGTGATTAATTGTATATTTCTAGATGTCTGGCTGTGATAATTGAATATTTCTAGATGTCTGGCTGTGATAATTATATATTTCTAGATGTTTGGCTGACAGAACAAATGCTTGGACCGATACAGATCATACATGTTACACTGTATATACTGCTGGGTCTTCAGGAAAATCATTTTTAAGTTTCAAAATCTATAAAATTCAAAAGGATGCACTAAACAAATAAAGCCCCGAATCTTGTCTTGACTAAATCAAAATGGCCGATTTTTCTCTGAAAATAAATTGTAAAGAAAAATATCGATTTTTTTTCTCTGAAAATGATTTTGAACTAGGATTTTTACATATTTTGCCAGTTTATATGGACCATATTCTTTATCCACTTCTCAGGGATGAGGTAACTTTTTCAACTGCTTTTCTAAGTTTTAGGATATCTGTCAGAGTTCTTAGATTATTTTTAGAACTATTTGATTAATTTCAAGACTATTTGATTAATTTCAGAACTATTTGACTAATTTCAGGACTATTTGATTAATTTCAGGACTATTTGATTAATTTTAGGACTATTTGAAAAAATTTAGGGCTATTTGACTATTTTAGGACTTTTTAACTAATTCCAGGACTATTTTTTAAAAATCTCAGGACTATTTGACTAATTTCAGGACTATTTGTCTAATTTCAGGACAATTTGACTAATTTCAGGTCTATTTGACAAATTAAATGTCTATTTGACTAATTTCAGGACTATTTGAAAAAAATCAGGGCTATTTGACTTATTTTAGGACTATATGACTATTTCAGAACTATTTGACTAATTTCAGGACTACTTGACTAATTTCAGGACTATTTCAGGACTATTTGACTAATTTAGGGACTATATTTCAGGACTATTTGACTGAGGTTCATCATATAAACGGAGAAGGTTTAGATGCTGGAGTAGTGTATAGTGAGATGCAGGTTAGTTTATATTAAAATCATTAAAATTTGTTCTTTAAACCAAAGTTTCAGAAAAAAATCGTAATTTTTATTTGTCTGATTAACCAAATTTTTAGACTTAAATGATTGTGATAAAGTTTATTTTTATTGACTTGATTGTTTCTTTACAATTTTACGCAATTTTAGTTCTACTGTCCTTAAAAAGATTCAAATTAATCATTATTTCTTTGTACAAATTATAAAAACTTTCTATATTTTTAACATGATATATTCAATTCAAACTTCAAACCTTTTTTGTTCTAAAAATCGTAATTCTTTCTTTTACACAGTGTTTAAATTTAGGGAGTTGAACATTCTAGTTCGAATATAATGTACTTCGCTTTAGCAGAGGTAAACTTTTCAAACTAATACAAATTTATATTAAAATATAAATATTTATATACAAAAAGATTCACAATCTGAAATTTGTCCAAAACTAAGGTTTGTTTGTAATTAAAGGAGTTGATTCTTTGCCACAAACTCTGATTTTCTAATCCCTATATCTTTTAAACCCAATATCGTAAATAATTGACGTTTCAAACTTAGATTATTTGATCTAACAGAACTCATAGTTTGAAAAATCAAAGGTCTACGACATTGGAATCCAAAGATATAGGGATTAGAAAATCAAACTTTGTTGCAAAGACTCAATTCCTTTGTGATTAAATATTCTAATTAAACATTTCGCCTCAATCTTTATTAAATCTTTTTATCTTTGGATCCTAAACTATGGTATGTTATGCCATTCAGTTAAATCATAAATTTAAATTTAAGGTTGCAAAGATGTACAGATAAAGATGTAAAGATACCTAACTCAAATTTTACATGCATAGAAAGCAGACAACTTTTAATTATCAAACAGAGAGACATCTAACGCTAAAATTTTGAATTTATTTTTTTTCTTCTACAAGGCCCTCTACCCTGGGTCTGGGTACGAGTCTGAGACTGGTGGATACTTACAGAATCTTAGAAACTCAACCAATATAACCAAGGTAATATATATACTTTGTTTGTCTGTCTGTTTGACTGTCTATATAGTATTTTCAACTTTTTCAGTTAAAATATACATTTGTTAACTGCAAATTCGAAATATAAGGAAGACGATTTTACCGACTCAGATGTCGTAGACTTTTCTCAAGACGTGTGTATCTATTTCCGGCCATGAAGCACCCACATGTCACCCTCGCTTCTTCGTTCCCTCCCAGGGGGCGGGCATAACTCTCCTAATTTTGCCTGGCTAGGTTTATACTGTACAGTGAAATTTGTCGAAAAATGTTTCCTTATGACTGAGTTCGTATCATAGAGTACAGTGGGTTTAATCCTAAGTACATCTATTTGTACGGTATTGAGTGGACAGTTAATTTTAATATTTTTCAACAATGAGATATTGTAGTGTCAAAAATTGTGTAAACAATATTTTTTTCTCTATTTGTCATGTCTCATTTTTATACAAAAATCATATGGACTTGTTTTCTTTGCTTTCACTTTCAAACAATAACTTTCAAAACTGATCTACGAATTATGATCCCCCCCAGGTAGAATTTCTGATCGGGTCATTGTGTACAGTGGCTGTACAACAAGAAGTCTAAAATTCCAGATGCCCCCTCTATTACTAATATCTCGATGTTCCCTCCTCACCCCTCTTCACATCCCAGCTCGGCAGTCAGATTGAAACACTAGAGATGATCACAACTCTGTCTCAGGGAGCAACCCTGGCTCCTTCATGGTGATGATGCAGATACCTAGCCATCAACAGACGATGCTTACATCCAGCTCAATATTTTTCCAAGAGTTCCAAAATTATCAGGCGAACATTGAGACGCATTCCCTCATATTAGAAACTGATAAGACCGCGATCTCTCCCCTGTTCCAAGAGTTCCAAAATTGTCAGGCGAACATTGAGACGCATTCCCTCATATTCGAAACTGACAAGACCATGATCTCTCCCCCTCCTTATCCAAAGCCTGGAGTGAGCGAAACCTGTTGTTCCAGTTCCTGATGATCAGCACCACCATCATGAAGTTCTACAAATATGTTCCAACTGATGTTCGTCAATAGTTTTCTTTGTTCATTTTTAACCAACCAATTTTACTCAGCCATGGGCAAATATTTCAAAACTTTCGTTTTTTTTTTATGAATGTTAGAAATATCCATGTTTAGATCTCTTTATTTTACTATAATGACTTTTAAAGTCAACAACATTTTAGATGTTTAAATATATATTTTCCAAGACAAAATGTTTAATGGGTCTATATATGTCTATTTGTCCATATGTAATGTATACAAAGAGAAATGTTTACAATTAAAATAGAAGATGGGCGCGAAGTGCTCTAAAAGCCTAGTCTTTATAGATTTAAAATATTGAAGGGCTGTAAGCGCAATTTCAAGTAACCTTAAATGTAAAGATGACAATGCACGATTTACAACGGTACCCTTGATAGCTTTGTCTGATCAAGTATTAATTAGATATCAATTTTTTTGTTACTTTAAAATGTTTATTTTCATTTACGGTTTCTCTGCGAAAGGGACTTAAATATTTCTTGCTTACAAGAAGAAATGGAGAAACTCACAGAAACAAACACTATTTGAGTCTGAAAAACGACATTTTTGATCGAATTAAGATTTCCAGGATACCGTTGGAATTACGGATACAGTCCCTTGTAAACTAGACACAAGGCACGGGCAGCCGTAGTACATTTGAATTTCCGAGCCGGGTCAACCTTTCCGCGCGGTCCCAGTTTGTACTGTGTCGCCCAAAAATTGGGTTAACAAAGCAGACACCTAATAGGACTAGCCGGTGCAACAAGGTGGACGCGGTCAGACTTTAGATTGAATTTCCTTTTACTAAAGGGTCAGGGGTGCTTGAAGGAGAAGTTCAAATATATGCGACATTGACGATATACAATGGAACAAACTCAAATTTGCGAATCCCTCTATCTTTATAATCAATTGGTGTAGACCTTTGATATGTCAAACTTTGATCTAAACAGGATTTTAAATCTCTATGGTCTATCACCTTAGAGGAAGTAAAAGTCGTAACAAGGTTTCCGTAGGTGAACCTGCTGAAGGATCATTAAAGGTTTGGTTCCGTGCCTCTGGCGCAGTCCGAATGCTTTGGCAAACCAAGTCGGGTAGGAGCGGGTGTTTCGTCGAAACCAAGGGTGCCGTGGTGCCCTGGGCTAGGCATGTCATTGAGTTGCAAAGATATAGAGTTTAGAAAATCAGACTCAATTTCTTTATTCGATTCCATATTAGAAATTCAAAACATGGTTGTGCTTCTCAACAGCTCTTTACTGAGAAGAGTTATAATTAAAAACATATAAGATTTTAATCTTACGTGGAATTTACTTTTGTTTACCGTGGCTTGTAAAGTTGTAATTGTGTATATGGGATTATTCTTCAAGATGAAATATAAATTCGTTATTTAAAGCAAAGCACTGCCAAGTTTTTGAACATGTTTGAAGAAAAAAAACTTTTGTAAAAGAGCGACGATACGTGATGGGTCAATTAATTACGTTAATTTATAAGCTTCAGTGGAACGAAGGGATTCAATTAATACAACTAACTTGAGGTTTATGAAGAATAAATCAAAATCATACATGTTTTCCTACTTTATTAAAATCTCGTAGACAAACTAAAGTATAAAATTTTTCACCTATTATTGTCCTGGGTTAAATATCGATAAAACAATATTTAATTCAGTAAAATAAAGGGACCGTTCAGTAATATAGAGGGACCGCATTGTCAATTTTTTTTAACTTTCAACTTTTCTTAACTGAAATATGTAAAAATATGTAAAAAATGTTTGTTAAGAATGTTATCGATGATATATTTATCATGTTTAAAGGTTATTGTTGTAAAACAGGGCTCACTTGATAAACCGTGACAGTCCTTTAAATATTAATTGTTTTTAGGTTCGAGCATATCACAAGCAGTACTATCGTCCTGAGAATCTAGGAAAATCATTAAAAAAAAAATAAAACCTTTAAAAATATTATTTTAAATTTAATTAAAAACATCCTAGGGTATTTATGATACTTAGTATCAAATTAAAGGAAATTTTTGTATAAACAGTTGAACAGGGGGTTGGGGGGGAGGGGGGGGGGGGGATTGAATTTTATAATTGCATAATTTATAAAGACACAGGATCTCTATCTACAACGGCGTTATTTGGCGATCCTTATAACAGTTTATGAATTGCTTAATAATAGATAAATATTAAATAATAATTATCAAATCATGAATGTAAATATTTAAGTAAATATTAAACGTAATTAATGATCAAATCATAAATAAATAATTTAAAATAATAAAGTTAAGTATGAAATATGAATTATCAAATCATAAATAAATATTATTTAATAATAAAAAAGGGAAATATTAAAATTTAATTAATAATTAATGAATTATCAGTTCTGACAATAACTGGAAGAATTGACCCGGATCAGCTATTTAGGAAATCAAAACATTTTGAATTTATTAGATCATAATTATGGTTTAACTGGAATTACAAGTTGTCAGCGTAATACTAATTAACCTTTCCATAGATCTAAAAAATGCCATTCACGATAACCTTTAAGGTTGGGGGGAAGTTGGGGGGCTTTTAGCCATTTCTATATTTGAACAAATTTTAAAAAGATATTTCATTTCCGTTTCACGCTATTATAATGGTAGTAAAGATAAGCAAATGAAATTGATCACTCATTGATCCTTATATCTTTGCATCCTAATGTCGAAGATTATGGCAACTAAAAATTAGAGTTTGATGTAACCAGTTGGTTTGTCCAAATGTAGAAAGACAAATTTGTGTGCGTGTGCGGAAAAATGTCTGTTTGTGTGCGTGTGCGGAAAAATGTCTGTTGTGTGCGTGTACGGAAAAATGTCTGTTTGTGTGCGTGTTTATTGTTTTGGGTTTTCAACCGTAGAAGAGGATAGTACAGAATTATATAGTCTTTCCCTCTCCTCCTTTCCTTCCTTTGATTTTCTTTTCAACTAAAGTTAAAGTTAGAGGGACGGTAAAAATTAAAATAAATTAAAAAACCTAAAGTCCAGTGGGGTGAAAAAAAATCTGGCAAAAATTGACGCCTTAAATTAGGATTAGAAAAAAAAAGGTTTTAAGATTTCTTATTTTTAACCTTACCTTTAGGAAATCCGCAGAAAGAATTTGAGTCTTTTCAACAAATTCTGATTTTGTAATTCTTATATCTTTGCAACCCAATGTCGTAGACCCCTAGTAGAACTATTTCAAACTGTGAATTATGCTGGATCAAAAAATCTGAGTTTGAAGTACCAAAGGTTTACACCAGCAGGTTTAAAAGATATAAAGATTAGAAAATTTGAGTTTCTGACAAAAACTCAATTCCTTTCCAGGAATTTTTGGGATCAGGGAATTCCCAGGAATCTTGGGATCTGGGAATTCCCAAATTTGAAATCCAAGCTAACTCCTTGTATTGAAACCCGTTGTAGGTTATCTGATCAAAAGTATAAATGAAAAACAGGCTTTTTAAAACTTGCTTCAGATAGTACGTTGCATGATGTCTAAATACTAATTATAATGTATAATGTCATTTTAATCTGCATTCATCTATTCAGCTAACCTAGTTATTATTTGAACAAAATATTTATTTTTTTCTGCATCAATGATTTAATTTTATGCTTTGAAAAGGAAAAATTTGGTGCATGTGACATTTCATAGAAAGACATTTCATAAATAGGGCATTTCATGGTCAGGACATTTCATGGTCAGGAAATTTGAAAGGAATAGGACATTTTCTCTTTCTATGAAAAATCATATCTATGAAATGTTCTATCAATAAATTTCGTTTTCTATAAAATGTGCAATCCATGATTTTTTTTCTATGAAATGTCCTATGTATGAATTTTTTTTATGAAATGTCCTGTATATAAAATGTCCTATATCTATGATTTTGTTATCTATGAAATGTCTTTCTATGAAATGTCCCAACGCCATGTGGCAATAAATATCCAATATGGCGTACTAAAAAATGTTGATCTTTGCAGTACACTAAGAAGTACAGAGGAGAAGGTTCTTAGGAAGAAAGAAGAAATTGGAAATGTGGAATACATCAGACCATGGCAGGTAAGCAAGCATTCATCGATGTTAGTAAAGTTATTGATCATGATCTTGGTTTTGTTGAGAATCTTGATATTTTAAATAATCTTTATATCTTTGTGGACCATGATATCTTAGAAGTTTATTGATATTTTCAGTGATCTTGATTGTGTTCGTGTTATATTAATTTTTATATTGTGTTCATGATAAAACTGATCTTTCTCCTAATCTTCATCATGAGCTTGATCTTTATATGATCTTGATCATATACAACTATACAAGATCTTTTATCGTGTTAAATATTTTTTATATTTCTGATCCAAAGCATTATAATGATCATTGTTGCATTGGTAATCATGATTTTATTACTGATCATAATCTTGATGTTCATGATCATGATCTTAATCATTATCTTAGGTGCACTGATAATCATGATCTTGTTAATGATCATAATCTTATTCATAATGTTATTCATGATCATGAATGTGATTAATATCGATTGAATGCATTTATGATCATGATCGTTGTTGTATATCAATAATCATGATCGTGTGCGTAAGTAATCATGGTCTTAATGATTGATGGTTTTCATGATCTTCATCGTGATCATTAAAATGGATGCATATTGGTAATCATGATTTTGTTAGTGATGGTAATCTTAATGTTGCTCATTCTCATGATTGAGATCATTTTGAATTGAGGATTATGATCTTGTCAGTGATCATAAACTTCAATGTCCTCTTCTTCTTGATCTTCATCATTATCTTGGATGTATATTGATAATCATGATCTTGTACGTGAAAATAATCTTGATAATGTTCATGATCATGATCTTGATTCTCCGCATGTGCTTTATGATCATGATATTGATCTGCATCTGTCCATAGAAACCCTTGGCTCCGTTAATTGAAGATCTGGGAAACGGGCTTTCTGTTGAAATTCCATCAGAGGATGAAACTATTGGTAAACACTTTTATTCTAACATTTTAATATTATTTTATCATCTCAAAATGCCGGGATAGTGTCCATGTGTTTGTGTTTGACCTTTTACTTATACTTTATAATTCTAGGAAAATGAAAATTTTTTAATGTCATTTATTTGATGGTAAATTTGTTTGCATTATTAATTATTATTCTCTGAAATGGCTTTCCTTAATTTTAATTCAAACATTAATATGTTGTCCTTTGAATACATAAACTTGTAAATAAAACGTTAATTAAGCGTAAATTTAAGTTACCCTCCATTTGAGTGGCATGTTCGATTTACATCGGTAAAATGAGACAGGTTTCTGTTTTTAAAATTATTTAAAATATTAACTAACATTTTTCTTTTAATGAATTTGGCAAAATTAACCCTATTCAGACTGACGTCTACTTTACCCCAAATTATTCCCTATTATCTATAACATTTGATACATTTTTTGGAAAACCCTCAGGTTCTATTCTAATAAATTTCAAATATTTTTTACAAAATTAAGTTATTTAGCTAAAATTTTCAAAAACAAAAAGTGCGCGAACTATACATTTATAAAAGCCCTTGACCCAGCGAATTCAAATATGTAAAAACATTTTCAAATCTGAATGTTTATTCAAGGAAAGTTAAAAATGTTCAAGTTCCCTTTAACCCTATCCCCGCTGGGGTACTTGAAAACCAGGATACGCTGGGGGGGGGGTCAATTTGACCCCCCCCCCTCTAAATCCCATGTTTTATGTCCAAATATGACAAATGATACATCATTAGAAAGCTCTTGTGCTCTACTTTTAGAATCTGCAAAAAAAATGCAAATTTGCGAAAATTGAATTTTTTATCCCAAAATCCAGTTTTATAGTAAAAATGTTTGCAAAAAAAAATTTGTCCAAAAAATGACAAATTACACATTTTTGAAAACCTTGACCATGCCATTTCAAATATGCAAAAATTTTTGCAAAATTTTAAATAACCTGATTTTTAATCAAGAAAAACTAAAAATGTTCAAATTTCCTTTGACAGGTTTTTTGCAAAAAATTTGCAATTTTTTTCTCGCAAAACTTGTGCAATCCGTTTCCTTATGTCATAGGCTTTCCAAAAAGCTAAATTTTATCAAAATCTGACAAGTGAAAGTGGGTCAAAACAAAGATTTAGTTTGCTACAGGCAAAAGCAGTCATTCAGGCAGTGTGCCTGAGGACTCAGGCAGTTAGTATTAAAGCCCGGTTTTAGGCCTAAAGGGAGGGCTTTGGGTATGTAAGAAAAGTCAGAAAATTTCAACAGCCTCAGACCAATACTTTTTGAGTTATGTAGAAAAAACTACAGGGGGGCGATGTTATTTCCCCCCCCCCAGCGGGAATAGGGTTAAAGGCGTCAGCGCAAAAATATTTGCAAAATGTCTCCGCAAACATTTTCCAATCTTCTTCTTTTTGTTGAAGGCTTTCTAAAAAGCTGTAAAATATTAACATACAATGGCTGGTCGTAGGCTTAAATATAGATTTAATTTGGTATAGGCAAAATAATGCATTCAAAGTAGGTTTATAAGATCCAATTTAATCCAGAAAAATAAAAAAGTCAGCTAGAATAGGGTTAGACCAAGGAGAATAGAATATATATTAGAGTGGAATTTATTAGAAAAAAGTGTAAAACGGCCATTTTGTTGTACTGTTTCCATACTGCAGGTGTACTTCACATAGTTGCGCTATATAACCTTTTTGGCCCTGGAACATCATTTTATAGAAAATCTAAAATTAATATTAAAAAAAAACAAATCATGAAATAGGCTGGTTTCATAATTGACCAATGATCATTTCACATAGACTCTATACCTTTCACTTTACAAACGATGATTTTCCGATATAACTATAAATCAAATGATGTTTTTCACCAAATTCATTTTCTATAGTTTATTTAACAGCTTTAAAAAATTCGAAATTGAAATTGATAGTCTAGGGAACATACTTTATTAATGTACTCTACTGCATATAATTTGTGAACATTTACATGATTTGTACACTTTGAACTCCCTTTCAGGCTGAAAGGGACTGACAAAATTCATACCGAGGGATTGTTTAAATTCCATTCTAATATATATTCTATTCTCTTTGGGTTAAACACTTTTGTTACTGACGCCGTTGTGATTTTAACACGCCCCCTTTTTAGATGTATTTTCACTTAAAACTGCATCAACCTTATATTTAATCATATTTTCAAATCTAGGCAACATCGCTGTTGCTTGGCGACTGCCTGAAAAAATTTCTGAGAATGTTCGCCGGCTTCAAGCATACAAACTTATCATGAAATATCTTACAAACACTCAGGTAAACAAAACTAGATTAACATTTGTGATCTTCCCTTTCTTTCTACTCTGGATGGACATCGTTTTGAAGTACGTTTTTTTAACATTAATCCTTTCCTTTTAGTTATTTATTGGCAGCGTTTTGAAGTAGGTTTTAAACATTCGATCCTTTCTTTTCAGTTATTCATTGGCAGCGTTTTGAAGTAGGTTTTAAACATTCGATCTTTTCTTTTCAGTTATTCATTGGCAGCGTTTTAAAATAGGTTTTAAATATTAGATCTTTTCTTTTCAGTTATTTATTGGCAGCTTTTAAAGTAGGTTTTAAATATTAGATCCTTTCTTTTCAGTTATTCATTGCCAGCGTTTTGAAGTAGGTTTTAAACATTAATCCTTTCCTTTTAGTTCTTCATTGGCAGTATTTTGAAGTAGGCTTTAAACATTTGATCCTTTCTTTTCAATTATTTATTGGCAGCGTTTTGAAAAGTACGTTTTAAAACGTTTAATACTTTCCTTCCCATTTTTCATGGACAGCGTTATTAAAAATTTTCTCCTTTCTTTTCTTCTATTCATGGACAGTTTTGAAGTTTGTTCAATCTTGTCAGGGGCGGATACAGGATTGAAGTGAGGGGGGTGTTTGATTTATTTCGGAACAAAAAAATCCAGATTTAGGAACAAAAAGACGTGCCGCAGGAAAAAAAAAAAATAAGATAGTTATTTTTCCTGTTTTTCACTAGGTTTTCTTTCCCTTAAGTGCTATTAAGATGCTATTCTGAAATCTCAGGGGGGTGCGAATGTCCTGCCACCCCCCCCCGTTTCCACCCCTGAATCTTTTCCTTTCTACTATTCATGGATAGCGTCTTGAAGTACGTGTTTTATACTTTCAAGGTTTTCAAGGTTTTAGACTTTAACGACGTACTCTAACACATTTTAAAATGTTTTTCAAATCATCTGATTTATATAAAGTTTATACTTATTTAATTACAAAAATCTTTTTTTTACTGAAATTTTTTTTGTAAAGGTGAGTCCACTAGAGGCAGATTTAGTTGAATCCCAAGACTCCTTAGCTACAAGGAAATACAAGATTTTTTATAATTCATTTTTTATCCATAATATCAAACTCTTCAAAAATGAGAGGAGAACAAGCAATATTTAATCTCGAGATTAAGAAAAAGAGTGGATTAAGCATTAATCCCGATATCCACCATTCTAAAGTTTTCAGCTTATTATATTATTAACAATATATTAGTAAAACTAATACTCCATCTTGGGAGCTTAGATATATAGCTTAAAGGAACTGTAAGCGTAATTTCAAGTAACCCTCTTTGCAAATTCCCAATTTACACAAGGCTTTGTATTATTCAGTACAGAATAGATTTTTTCAAATTTTCATTTCTGAGTTCTCTGAGAAAGTGACAGCGCATTTCTTACTCATGTGAAACAATGGATAAATTCACAAAAATAAAAACTTTTTGATTCAGAAAATCGATGTTATCTTCCACATTTCTAACCAGATTAAAGGGAGTGTTCGCGAAAAATGAAAGGGGGTATAGGCTTAATGCGATAAAAAAGCGCTTTTGATCGCTACTAATCTTACTTCTATCTGTTGCGTCTATAAGGAGAAAATTGATAAAGACTTTTTAAGGTTGCAAGGGTACCGTTGTAAATTGGGCACTGCTCTTTTAAAGGACGGTCACTTGAACTTAGGCTTACAGTCCTGTAATAGGCATTTTCATTTAATCATTATATAAAGAAACATAGAATTTAAAATCCTTTTTATTTTCTTTAAATCTAAGTTTAGTTCTCTTCATAATTCTCTTAGATTTTATCTTATTGATTAAATGAAATTTTAAGACAAGAAAAAATTCTTGTTAAACAGTGTGAGTGCAAGTATGTTGGAAGTAAAAGAACCAGCAATTCTCGTGGAATTCGAGAACGTTCCAATTGAAAGATTAGGTGAGAAAATTGTAAAAATTGACAGATTAGGTGAGTAAATTGTAAAAATTGAAAGATTAGGTGAGAAAATTGTAAAAATTGAAAGATTAGGTAAGAAAATTGTAAAAATTTAAAGATTGAGTGAGAAAATTGTAAAAATTGAAAGATTAGATGAGAAAATTGTAAAAATTGAGAGATTAGGTGAGTAAATTGTAAAAATTGAAAGATTAGGTGAGAAAATTGTAAAAATTGAAAGATTAGGTGGGAAAATTGTATAAATTGAAAGATTAGGTGAGAAAATTGTAAAAATTGAAAAATTAGGTGAGAAAATAATGGAAACAAAATCTAAGCCTTATTATGGAGCATTTTGTTTAAAACAAAAGAACTTTTTACTCATCTCATTTTTTAATTGTCTTATTTTTACATATTCATTATTTATGCTGTAAAAAGAGATTGAGAAATAAGAGCTTGATGCAAGTTATCAGTTTCTTTTAGCTGCGTAACAAAAAATTTTTATACACTTACTTAAATGGAAATGGGATAGTTCAAAAGAATTGAGTCTTTGTCACAAACTCTTATTTTCTAATCCCAATATCTTTGCAACCCAATGTCGTAGACCTTAAATATTCCAAACTATGAATGCTGTTAGATCAAATAATTTAAGTTAAAAATAATAAAAATTTTACACCACCATGTTGCAAAGATATAGGGATTATAAAATTATAGTTTGTGGCTAAAATAAATTCCTATAATAGCAATCTATATTTTTGATATTAGATATGATTTTTACAGAAATTAAATTTTCAATAATGATTTAGATGAAGTTATACCGAGGATGGAGGCTGTATTCAACAAAATAGTTGAAGATGGACCAGAGGCCTTTGATCTTGAGAGAATTCAAGATTATATTGACAGGTTGGTACAACAAAAATACATCTTTTTACGAAAATATTGATTTGGTTATAAAATCTTTTTTAAAACTAATTCGTACGTTTCTCAAAAAAGAAACTGTCTAAAAAATATCAAATTTGAACAATTTATTTCATGTTTTTCTATTGTAGGGAAATCTTGAACCATCTGAAGGAGACTGAGAACAGTCCTCATCTTTTTGTGCCAGGTACTAAGAAGTTATAGAAATAGAGTGTAGGACAAATAATGTGTAGAAGAAATGGAGTCTAGGACAAATTATGTGCAGAACACATGATGTGAAGGACAAATAATGCGTAGGACAAATTATGTGCAGAACACATGATGTGAAGGACAAATAATGCGTAGGACAAATGATGTGCAGAACACATGATGTAAAGGACAAATGATTCGTATGACAGATGACTGTAGGACAAATTATTTAGGGACAAATGACAAAGTATCCATTTAAAGGCCAAAAACGTTTAAGTAATTGTTAAAAATTAATCTAATGATTCTATTGGTTTCTAGATGCCAGTGTCCTGGATATGTTGTATGGAGAGAAACCTGAACACTTGAAGGAGTTTGTATTATCTTCAAACCTAAATAAATATTACAGGTTAATATATATATATTTTAAATATATTCATCAAAAGTATGGCATTTTATTATTATTATGAACAAACGCTTAATCCAAAATTATTTTTAAAATATTTTATTTTTCAAAAATTTGACTTTTTGGTTTTTCTATTACGCGGTTTTTATGGCAATAATTTAGCTTTCTTTATGCCACCATTTTTGCCTAGTATTTATAAATCTGACAAATATTGCATTTTTCTGTTTTCTCTCTTGGACATTTTTGAATCTAAAGCAATCTTAATTTCTTATTATCCTAAAAAATTCCTAAAATACATAAAAAGGAATTGAGTCTTTGTAACAATTCAGTATATGACACTTGTATGCATTATTTTTACTTTGAAATTTAGGACATCATACCCATAATAGTTTTGACTATTTTATTGACCAAGTATCATCCCAAAAAATCTACTTTAGGGCGGGATTAAAAAAAAAAAAAATTTCATTTCAAACTAATTGAGTCAGACGATTTTTCGGGTGGTACAAACAAATCTAATCAGACAAAACCAATAGAAACAAAGATAAATAATAATACGATAATTATTATCTAGGAGTAAGGATGCAGCATTTTGGGTGGATCTGGTCAAAGAGATATTTATTGATACTCCTAAACTTTATATAAAGGGAATACCTAGCAAGAAGAAACAGGAGGCCCTAGTTAGGTAAAACAACAACTTAAAAACTGTATTTTTTTTACAAAAAATGACTAGCTTTTTTCGAAACATTGCACTTGTATCTTGTATCTGGTATCTGGTATCTAGTAGTTGATATCTAGTAAATGGTATCTGGTATCGTATATCTGGTATTTGATATCTGGTATCTGTTATCTGTTATCTGGTATCAGGTATCTAGTATTTGGTATCTAGTAAAAGGTATCTGGTATCTTATATCTGGTATCTGGTATCTGGTATCTGGTATCTGGTATCTGGTATCTAGTATCTTGTATCTGGTATCTGGTATCTGGTATCGGGTATCTGGTATCTGGTATCTGGTATCTGGTATCTGATATCTGGTATCTTGTATCTTGTATCTGGTATCTGGTATCTGGTATCTGGTATATATAAATATATATAGTGAAGAGGAAGTTAGACTGGAAAGGCAGAAGGCAAGGTTGGGAGAAGACGGATTACGAAGAAAGAAGGAAATTATCGATGCAGCAATTGCTTCTCAAACCCTACCAAGCACTGAGGTAATTTCTTCTCAAACCCTACCAAGCACTGAGGTAATTACTTCTCAAACCCTACCAAGCAATGAGGTAATTGCTTCTCAAACCCTACCAAGCACTGAGGTAATTACATCTCAAACCCTACCAAGCACTGAGGTATTTACTTCTAAAACCCTACCAAGCACTGAGGTAATTACATCTCAAACCCTACCAAGCACTGGGGTAAACACTAAACTTACCTTGATTGAGGGGTGGTGGTTCTAATGATAGCCTATAAAAACTCCAATAGCTTACACGTTATTGATCAGATAAAGGTTTAAGGGTACCGATGTGAATCGAACATTAAATTACGCTTTTAGTTCCTTTAGAATTACGCCAACATTCCCTTTCAAGTCCCGACCTTAAAATATCTTGATCTGTTTCAGGTTTTGAGCAGCATCCCTCTTGGAGATGTCAACTCCATCAAGTTCCGTCCTATCTCCAGCTTTAACAGAACAATACCCAATGATCTCGTTGATTTTAAGGAATGTTGCATAAGAAATTAAATTGTTCCATAATAAATTAAAATTGATCCATAAGAAATTAAAATTGATCCATAAGAAATTAAATTGATCCATAAGAAATTAAATTGATCCATAATAAATTAAATTGATCCATAATAAATTAAAATTGATCCATAATAAATTAAATTGATCCATAATAAATTAAATTGATCCATAGTAAATTAAATTGATCCATAATAAATTAAATTGATCTATAATAAATTAAATTGATCCATAATAAATTAAATTGATCTATAATAAATCAAATTGATCCATTATAAATTTTACCGCCTTTTGATTCCCCAAACAAAGGGAGGTTAAGATACTTAACGTCCCTTGGGACACTTGTGTAAGTAAACAGCCGCTCTGCAAAGTTTTCAGTAAAAAAATTGCGCATTTCCAGCTCAAAAGACGATAAAATTGTGTAAAACTACTTTTTCATGAAATTCTAAATTTTACTTAATCACGGGTTCACACGAACTATTATGTCTACAAAACATCCCTCGCTGCGCTCTGTTATAGGCAAAATTGGTCTCGGGAACCCTTGGTAAAGTAAAATTCCCTTAACTTCCCTGTAAGGTAGTAGTAAATAATTATAATTGACCCATGATTTTAATATTATAACTAAAAAGGCATTTTTTGTTCTCCCCTCCTTCTCCTATTCTTTGAACTTATTTTAAAAATTAAAATATTTTATTATTTTGTGGATGTATTTCTGTGAGTTTATAAAGTTTCTAACGTTTGAAGTTCTGAAAATAAATTTGCAAAGCTGATGCCATAAATAACATCCATTGGACATTTCTAGTTTCAGTGTATTTTTATAAAGCCACCTCGCCCAACCCATAGCCTTTTTACACTAGATCACTGCACAGCACGAAATAAAATCTTTAAAATTGATTATGCGCATTATTAGGATATACCATACAAGATACATTTAGGAATAATATCTTATCTTAATTATAACATGTGTTAGATAAATAATTCTATTACGGGGACACTAAACTGATTTTAAGTTGCCCTCCTTGTATATTCACAAAACCCTTTTCTCACCAAAAAGTAATAACATTTATTTACATTTTATAAGAATTTTTCATGGGGTAAACATATGATGAGTATTATTTTTATAGACAATGCTAATTCTGCTTTTGTGAAAATTTTTATTTTTATGGAAACATCATCCTTGTCTAAAAGGTAATATTTAGTTAATTATATTTATGTGACCCTCGTGTTTCATAAAAATACAATACAAAAATGTCATATCCATTATGATGGCCATGACATAAACATGATCAGGACCGGTTGTTTGACTACGGTAATGTTTAAATTTCATGGCCATTTCGTAAACTAATTATGACCACAAAGCATTGGCAAGACAATTGCATTGCAATAGATCATTGACCATTTCTGTGACGAAACCATTATGACCATGACCAAGACACAGCACTTTACCATGAAAATGATCAAAACATAGCCATTTATAATATATGATCATGACCATTGCCATGACCATAACCATTTGCCATGATCATTGATCATGGTCATTTACCATGATCATGACCAATTCCCATGATCATGACCATATACCATGATAATGACCACTTACCATGATCATGACCATTTACCATGACCGTTCACCATGACCATTCACCATGCCCATTTATCATGACCATTCTTCTTGACCATTGACCATGACCATTTACAATGACTGTCCACCTAAACCATTCACCATTACCATCCTCCATGACCATTTATCATGACCATTATCATGAACACTCACCATTATCTGTATCATGACCATTCACCATAAACATTCACCATGACCATTCACCATTACCATTCACCATTACCATTCACCATTACCATTCACCATTACCATTCACCATTACAATTCACCATTACCATTCACCATTCACCATAATCATTCTCCATTTACCATTCACCATTACCATTCACCATTCACCATAATCATTCGCCATTACCATTCACTATTCACCATAATCGTTCACCATGACCTTTATAATGACCATTCACCATAAAAACCACCATTACCTCAACTATGACTATAATGACCAAGTGTATATTAAGGGAGAAGCTGTTGCTACCTTTGTTGCTGGATACGTGGCTACTATCTCCTATAATAAAGAATGGTGATGTCGAACCAATAGAATCTGTTGTTAAAAGAAGAACAAAAGCTTTGCTCAGCCTTCAGAACAGTCTGGGTATATTTTTATACAATCAAATAATTTTTCCCTTTTCAAACATATGGAAATAAAATTTAAAATAGTTTTTTTTTAACATTTGTTTTCAATTAACCTTAGTACTCCTAAACCTCTACAACTCGTAAAATGAAAGAACGCTTGAATTGGCTTAAAGTCAATTCCTATATTTAAATAATAAATTTTAGGATTTGATGGATCTACGTTTTCTCCTGGAGCCTATGGTGATGCAATAATTATAGAGGTTATTTAATTTTTTTTAATATTTTTTTTAATTTCAAAATTTCAAAATTTGCTGAATTAGAAAAAAAACTAGCTCGATTTTCCTGCTAAAGACTGGTAAATTTTTATTTTTTTATAATTGAAACTTTTCTTCTACTTTTTTAATGTTTACCTTCCCTTGAATGTACACAATAAGAATGTACAATGCCAAACTTCATTGGGAATATTAACTTTAGGGACAGTCAGAAATTGGGTCTTTCAACGATACCATGGAGTACTTCAGTGATGCTCTTAATTATCCATATATTACTGAACAAAAGGTACAATATTTTGAAATTTACGAACTTATCGTGGCACCAGTCAGATGAGAGCGGAATATTCTCGTCCGCGTCAGAGTGCAGTGAGAACCAGAAAACTCTGGAATAGGAGGACGACTTATAGACTTAGGTTATGACTTTAAATAGTCTAATAAACATGAGACACAGTAATTGTGCAGTTTAAGCGGTGTAAGGTACTTTCCCAAGGCCGACTTCCCAAGTGACAATTTCCCAAGTGGCAACTTCCCAACTGTACAATTTCCCAAGCGGCAATTTCCCAAAGGTTAGGTTAGGCCCTCTGAGGCACTGCAGGCTACAATGGGGGGCCGAGCGCTGCGGTTAGGATGGGCTAGGGGGCCTAGCACCGCGGCTAGAACATACTGGGGGCCGTAAGCTGCGGCTGGGACGTTCTTTGGAAGTTGACGCTTGGGAAATTGCATATTTTGGAAGTTGTCACTTAGGAAAATGCCCTTGGGAAGTTTCTACTTGGGAAAAATTCTTTCGGAAAGGACCTAACATCGTTTAAACATACCAATTTAACTTTAAAAGTGTTTCAATAAATTACAAGTAAACTTTTGGCTTTGTAACAACACCAAATCTCAAGTGTTGTTATGATGTAGTCTTCCTATTCCACAGTTTTCTGGCTATCACTGTAACTCAAAACTTTCTCCATTCGGATCTGACATTGTCTAGAGATATAGCGCTGGACTGGAGAGTATATGCATCCTCATATCTAACTTAGATGTAGAAATATCTTGTTTCGCCGCTATTAGAAAGTTAAGCTTGATTCTTATTTTGCCAAATCATTTTCTAGATTACTTAAAAGCTTTAATCCAAATAAAAACCAAATAAAACCTGTAGATAGTAATATTTCTTAGGTTTAATTGGCAAATGCTTTGTGGTTAACTCTACACTTGAAATACAGTATTACCCACAAAGGATCAGACATTAGAGACAACAGAGTCTAAAACTAAAGAATGCGCGAATTTTAAGTTCGAGGTTAAAATTTCTGTAAAATAATGTTTAGCTACTTAAATATTAAACTTTCTCAATTTTAAATTTGAATTTCCCGGGAAAAATTTCACCCAATCAGAGAAAAGGATTTACGGAGAATATTACATAACCATCGCTAATCAGCTGTTTTAGTTAACTTTTTAATATTTACGTAACCGAAAACAAAACATATTTCCAGTTACAACTGTATTTTGGGTTTTGGTGCAAACATTAATTAATTTAAAACGTGAAATTTATTAAATCAAGGGTTTTACTTTTAAATATATCGTTATTAGTTGAATGCGCGCCGCTTATCGCTGCATGATGATAGATTAATAGGGATTGCGGGATTTCAAGATTTTAACCATGTGTTTAATTTTAACTCGTCGATTTCGGCGAGTTAAATATTTAACCACAGGTTTAAATATTTAACCTCACGGTTAAAGTTCGGGTTTAAATTAAGTCAGAAGTGGCATTTAACCATGAACTTAAACTTTAAGTCAAAACTTTTCGTTCTTTAGTTTTAGACTCTGTACAGCATTTATACCGTCTTTTTATTCACAATTTCCTACGAACATATTTTTTTGACAAATCATTCAATAAGACATTAAAAGACTATATTACAGACTAAAGATATTGTTATATTATAAGAATATTAGGTCGTCTTTACGCTCTCCTCCTTTGTAGGTAAACATGCATATATTATATATATATATTATTTAGTTAAGCTCGACAGTTTCCAATATTTTAAACAATATTCCATCAGTCAAACAATCCTCTACTGATATAATAAGGAAAAGTCTCATGTAAAACTTTTATATTTTTCTGATAACTTTCAATTTGATAATTTTTTATCTGATATACGAATAAATCAATAATTTTTTTAATCTTATTTAGATAAATTCTTGCACACAGTTTTATTGTAATGAATTTTTAAAGTTTGCAATTTTTCATCACTAGGCTTTTAAGGCGCTTCGCGACCATCTTCTTTTTAAAGTGTGAACATGTTCTTTTTGTTTACATTTTAAAATAAAAAAGAAGAAAATTTTGCGGATTTTAAAATATTTTTTTACAAAATTAAAAACCTTTAAACACTTTTTTTTATTTTTATCATTCATAAACCTTCCCTGTGGTCACGTGATGTCCCACACAAAATTTGGGCCCGATCGGTTCAGCCGTTTTGACGTTTATTGGATACAAACAAACAGACACCCAAACACTAAGACAAGCGCCAAATTTAAATATAGATAAAAAACTTTGAAGTTATTGAAATAGCAGCTCAAAAAAATTTACTAAGTAATTAAACAATTTTAAGCCTAGAAAAACCACAATATCATTATCTTCCACATTATTTATCAAATAAAGGTTTCAAGAACTTGGCATGTAGGGTCACTTGAAATTACGCTTACAGTTCCTTTAATAAATTATTCTTTTTTATATGAGAATTTCTATAGAACGCTTTTTGATAATCTGTATTTTAACAAAAACAACACAATCTACCTCAGCAATTTTATTCAGTAAGTAAATTAATAATAATAAATAAATATATATAGAGAACTTTAAGAGATATATTTAAATATTTTTCATTTTAGACAAAAGTTATTTTTGGAAAATATAACAGAGGAACTGAAAGAGAATCCAGATAAGGTGATAAGGTAATACGGCTTAAAATCTAGAAAATAAACACTTTTTAAAAAAAACTAATATTTTTTGTCGTTGAAAACATGACTTTATCTTTTTTCTAGTGATCTCTACGCTATCGTTGGTAAGCTTGCGACCCCAGCTACGTCCTTTCTTTACATTGGAGCTGATATTGATGAGCTGGTCAATCTCTACGGTCAGAAGCTACCTGTGCTTAACAAACTATTCAACACTACTACAGAGAAGGTAATATTCAGCTGTTGACGTTGTTCAAGAACAGCTGTTGTTTAAGGTCAGCGCCAAATATCAGCTGTTACTTAAGATCAGCTGTTGTTTAAGATCAGCTGGTGATAAAGATGAGCTGTTGTTCCAAATCAGTTAGGTAGTTTAGGATCAGCTTTGCTTAAGAGCAGCTATTGTTTAAGATCAGCTTCTGTTTCAAATTACTGCAATAAATTTGAATATTATTCAAGAAAACTAAAAGTTACATTTTTTAGGTTGAAAACTTGGATGAAAGATTTGAGTTGAAATCTGAACATGAATATAGAAAACTGAAAGATAAAAATCCCAGGTAGAAATATTAACATATTAAGTGTCTCAAAAAATATTAGAATTAAAAATTACTAATTGTATCTTTAAATATAAAGTAGAAATTTCTGTTTATTTGGACGTCCGATCAAAACCCACCGATTTGCCTCAAGTTTTGATTGAACAACGGCAATCTTCTTAGACTGGTTTAAAATTGAGTAAATCGCCTTTTATAAGAAAATCTTAGTTTCCCGGCAAAGCTGGGTTCTCAAGCTTGTTTGGAAATAAAAAAAGGAGACAAAAAAATATCTAAAAAGTCTTAATAAATATTCTGTATTTAAACTTTTGAAATATGAACAAAATATTCATAATAATTTGACGAATAAATACAAAAGACCAAAAACGATCTTCAAATTTCCTCTTAACTGTAATATATCGAGAGACACCCTGTATTTATGGTAGACCCAATCTTTAAGAAAAGAAAAATGACATTTTATTTTTTAGACATGTTGTATTTGGAGTGGCTGGTACAGAATCATGTTATTTGAAACAATCTATAAATTATAATATTTTATATTTTAGACATGTTATATTTGGAGTTGCTGGTACAGAATCCTGTCATATGAAACAACCTTTAGATTATAACATTTTATATTTCAGGCATGTTGTATTTGGAGTTGCTGGTACAGAATCATGTTATATGAAACAATCTATGATTATAATATTTTATGTTTTAGACATGTTATATTCGTAGTTGCTGGTACATAATCCTGTTACATGAAACAATCTATAGATTATAACAATTTATATTTCAGACATGTTGTATTGGGAGTTGCTGGAACAGAATCCTGTTATATGAAACAATCTATAGATTATAACAACACGGACTGGAATCATCCTGAGGTAAATATGAAACAAAATGCTCGCATAATATTTTTTTGGTTCGAGATTTCCTGAACGACCCTAGCGCCCTTAAACTTTCCCGACGTGGTCACAAAGATAAGGTTTACAGAAAAGTCAAATCATTTTTAACCTGAACATTTCATGCCCAAACCGTAAAAGTTGTGAGTCAATGTTTTTGTTTTTACAAATGTTAAACCTTTAGAATATAAATTTGACCTTATCCTATGTCTAGTTAAGATAGTGACTCTGTTCTAATGTTTGTTTATATCTAGGTGCCTGCAATAAGAGTAATGTTACAATATTTGTCAGACCGAATGTATGATCTAGTGCGGGGGTCAGGTAAAAAATAATATTTAAAAGATTTAAAAGGTTATTTCATATTTCTGTCAAACAACATGGATAACTTGAAATTTTTGCATCAACCACTTCTCAACCACGTCTGAATCATTTCTCAACCACTTCCAACCACTTCTCAACCACTTCTCAACCACCTCTCAACCACTTCTCAACCTCTTCTCCACCATTTCTCAACCACTTCTCAACCACTTCTCAACCACATCTCAACCACATCTCAACCACTTCTCAAGCACTTCTCAGCCACTTCTCAAGCACTTCTAAACCAAATCTCAACCACATCTCAACCACTTTTCAACCGCTTCTCAACCACTTCTCAATCACTGCTTAACCACTTCTCAACCACTTCTCACCCACTACTCAAGCACTTCTCAACCACATCTCAACCACTTCTCAAGCACTTCTCAACTGCATCTGAACCACTTCTTAACCACTTCTCAACCACTTCTCAACCACATTAGCTAGCAAATTAGAAGCAACATTTATCAAAAAAAAAAAAATTATTTTTTCAAAACAAAAGAAAGAAAAATAAAGAAGACAATCATTTTACTATCCATTGGTTGTCACACGACTCACAAAAATACAAATAAATTTTCAACGATTGATTACAAACCAATTCTTAAACTAATGATGATGAATATTGAAACCAATGAAGACGACATTATAAACTGTCACTGATTTCAGGGCTGACCTACGGCGTATCCATGAGCTTATCAGTTACCGAGGGGAGAATTACTTTGAGCTTTAGTCGAACATCAAGGATGGTTGATGCTTACAGGTTTATTCAGATTAAATATATTTTTCCATCTTTTTACATCGTCATATCCATACATGAATAAATAAGGTTATATCTATCTATCCATCTATTTATTTTTCTAATAATATATTTCAGTTTTTAACTTCACATTTTACACAAAAAAGTCTTCAATCATTATATCTATCTTTCTTTATGTATATTTTTATCTCTACTAAAAATCGCAATAATTACTGGAAACGGAATCTCAATTTTACGATATTTTTAAATAAAGAAAATAATGTCTCCGGTTGTTTTAAAATCCCTTTATTTAGTGAAATCGGTTCTATGTACCGTACAGAATTGCTATGCTTCATGTGTATTAAACTATTTGAAATCATTCTAAAGGTCGTCTTCCAATTCCACAATTTTATGGGTTCACTGTATCTTCATTTTATTTTTACCAAGTATTGATATCTCAACTAGCTTTGTCGGATTCAGTTGAAAGCTTAAAGTATTTGAAATAGGTAAATCTATAGTTGAAGATGTTCAACTTTCATACTGTATTTAACTACTGATAGCTATTTCTTTAATTATGACCAATTTGAGGGAGGGGGACCAGATTTAAAGAGACTCAGGTTTTTAGTAAGTATATCTTTATTAAACCTAATTTTGGGTCACCCTGTAATTGTATTTGCATGATGGAAATTAAAATGTTTAACACAATTTGATTTCAATTGTTCCTAGTGCTGTTCGAGATATCCTGAAGGACTACGGGTCTAAACCAGAGATTTGGGATCCAACCCTTCTAGATTCAGCCAGGTCAATATTTAACAACTGGGTTTTAGATATTAGCCAGCACGATTTCTCAAAACGAAAAACGAAAACAATCGTGTTGGTGATCGGGTCTCCAGTCGAAAGTTTTTGCACGAAAATCGTGCAAAAATTGCGCAAAGATTTGCTTACGTTTCAAGTAAAAATTGCACAAAATTTCGATGTTTTTGCGCAAAAGCTATTCTGAAGAAAATCTTGGTATTTACGTATTTCATTAATTCCTGCTATTTCGTTATTTCGTTAAATTTTAAGAAACAATTCCAGGAAATGATGAATTAATTCAAAACCAATCAGAGTCAACTTTACTCCAGCCTGCTCGGTGCTCACACATGCTGACGGAATGAGTCCTAATGCTTAGGTTTTAGGTCACCAGACCGTACCGACTATTACACCGTTTACCGGAAATCATTCTCAAGTAGTAACTTAGTCACGAATTAATTAATCATAATCACATTCACTTATCATCAGTCCAAACTGAACTTGGAGACGAGCAGGGTTAAATGGAAGTTGTTTTTTACTGAAACTAATTCACGCCATACTGTCTAAATATTGAAATCTTTCATATATTTATGCACTATATGACATGCAACAAATATTACTTTCATGCACAATACTGCTCTACAAAAATTTAAATTTTTCTGATTCATGGGTATTGCAAAAATGACCTGTATTCATGCGCAATATCATGAAATATGACTAAAATTTCGTATTCATGCGAAATTTCGTGCAAAAAAAAATTATTTACTTCGAATGAATGCGCAATTTCGTGCAAAACTGTTTTCGTATTGATACGAAAATGATGCAAAATTTCGTGCAAAAAAAAAGTCATTTCGTGCAAAAACACGAAACTGTTGCGCAAGAGAATTGACTGTTTAGTTGGTGAATATCTTTGATCAGATATAAAATTTTACAAAATGTAGTAAAAGCAAACTTGTCTAGCGCGCAATTTTGAAATATATACTTGCATGAACCCTCTTAAAAGTCTAAAAACTTTAAATGTTTAAAAACAGATCTCCTCAAAACAAGGCCAATCATTAGGCACAAGGCAATAGGAGAGGGGGGGAAATCATGTATTTTAGTTTTACTTATTAAATAATTATCAAAATTAAGAGCTTTCAATGTTTACATGAATATTTGTGCTGCTGGATATTTGTTTACATGGATATTTGTATCTGCGGGAAAAGTTATAAAACTAGGGGGTTTTCAAAGAAATTAGAAATTTAAAAAGTTGGTTGTATCCTTTCTGATCTTTTACCCCAAAAAAAATCATTATTTTCCTTAGTTTAGTGAAGAAAACAATTTGTCTAGGGTTTTCCTGTGCCTGTATAATATTCTGCTCTTGTGCTCTACTTTTAGAATCTGCAAAAAAAATTGCAAATTTGCAAAAATCAAATTTTTATCGCAAAATCCAGTTATATAGTAAAAATGTTTGCAAAAAAAATTTGTCCAAAAAATGAAAAAATTATACGTTTTGGAAAGCCCTTGACCATGCCATTTAAAATATGCAAAAAATTTTGCAAAAATTTAAATAACCTGATTTTTAATCAAGATAAACTAAAAATGTGCAAATTTCCTTTGACAGGTTGTTTGCAAAAAAATAGCAATTTTTTTTTCGCAAAACTTGTGCAATTCGTTTCCTTATGTCAAAGACTTTCCAAAAAGTAAAATTTTATCAAAATCTGACAAGTGGAAGTGGGTCAAAACAAAGATTTAGTTTGTTATAGGAAAAAGCAGTCATTCAGGCAGTGTGCCTGAGGACTCAGGCAGTTATAGTATTAAAGCCCGGTTTTAGGCCTAAAGGGAGGGCTTTCAGTATGTAGGAAAAAAAACTACATGGGGGTCAAATTTACCCCCCACCCCACAGCAGGAATAGGGTTAACAGAGTCCGAAAATGTTTGTGAATTCAATAATTTATATAAAAAGTATGTTTAGAGGATCAATGATATATTCCTGGAGTGAGAAGGAGGAAACTGTTGAAAATATGATTAGTGAGGTAAATTTAGAGTTTTCCTAATTTACAGAGATACAGGGTGTTCTTGAAATACAGAGATACAGGGTGTCCTTGAAATACAGAGATACAGGGTGTCCTTGAAATTCGTCTTTTATCTGTAAAATAATTCAAGGCAACCAAATTTTAGAAGTAAAATTCTAGAGTTAATATTCACATTATACCCCCTAGTCCTGGGATTTCCAAAATGTTGTCTGCCTTTTTTGTGCTGTCAATATTACCGGAGATTTGAAGAGTTTTGTTCAGATTTCGACAATTTTGGTTTTATTAAATACAATTGCAATCTAAACCAAATTGATATCTCCGTTTGACAGCACACAAAAATACAGACTAAATTTTGGAAATTCCAGAAATAGGATTTTTGTGTTTATTATTTAAGAATCATACATAAAAAAGAAGGTTTACTCCGAATAATTGCGATTTCTCATGTTCATTAGACTATTTAAAATCATCACGTAATCTAAAGCCGTCTAATTGCAGTCTAAGTAACAAACCATAGTGTATCTTTAAAATTCGGTGACAAAACCTCTGTAGAGTAAAAAAGTAGATACTAGTTCCCCATTTATTAAAATATATTTCGGTCTGGGTTGGCCCTTGTCAGTTCTAAACATATAATAACCATTAAAATTTGATAAAAAAAGATTGTTGAAAACCACAAGAAAAGAAACAAACAAAAAAGATTGTTTAAGAAAAAAAATGTGGACTGTCAAATGAAAATAAGTGAAACGAACTCAGATTATGAGATGGAAAAAAGATAATTTGCAAATATTAACTTTTTTTAAAATGCTTTAAGACAATTATGATTCCTTGAGATTGTTTCTGTCACAAAGATTAAAAACAAACTGTTTAGAAGTATGCGTATAAAGTGGTGGTTGGGGTCGATCTAATTAACGAACTTTAACTTAAATCGGGGGGAGGGGAGGGGGGGACCTGTAAAAGAGCGGTATTTTTAAATCTTTATGAATATTTGTTTAGAGTGTAAAAGCGTATATCCGAAGAACAGACGCAATGTATAATCGGAACTTTGTGCTTGAGCTTGCTGAGAAGACAGGGGACATGGTTATCCGGCAGCTGGCAGCTGATATCCTTCCAATATTCTTGGACAGTAGTAGAACACAATCTGTTGTTGTGTGTAATCCAGCTGTTCTTCCTACACTGGTAGAACAGTTTCAACAGTTTGATATTGATCTTCAGGTTATTGATGACTTGGAGAATAGTTTTATCAGTGCTTAATCAAACCCTGATATTGATCTTCAGGTTATTGATGACTTAGAGAATAGTTTTATCAGTGCTTAATCAAACCCTGATATTGATCTTCAGGTTATTGATGACTTGGAGAATAGTTTTATCAGTGCTTAATTAAACCCTGGTATTGATCTTCAGGTTATTGATGACTTGGAGAATAGTTTTATCAATGTTTAATCAAACCCTGGGGTAAAAATAAAAAACAAAAAAATTGGATTTTTCGGCGGTTTACTTTCACTTTGTTCATTTAAAGTTTTGGAACAATTCATGAATCAGATTAAATTGAAAGTAAAATTTGTTTAGTGTTTTACTTTTACTTGGTCTACGAAAAATGTTCTTTATACAAATCTCTGCATCTTTTCAGTTTTAAAAAACAATGTAATTAGATTAAATGTATTTTTTATATTAAAAAATCAGTATGCTTGAAAGTTGTAGGTGTATCTAATTGTAATGATATTTAAACTTGTTATATTTTGTATTTAGTAATATTTAAAGTATTTAATCATATAAAGAAAATACATATCGTATCAAAATATTGAAACACTTCATTAGATTGGCTTTAAATCTAGTGGAGACAGAATTTTGTTTTATGAATTTAAAAATAAACATACCAGCTTTTTTCGAGAAAATCATGATAAAATAGTATATATTAAGAAGCACTTCATAAATCTAAATCGTTAGTTATAATAATTTGATTAATGAAGGAAAAAGTTGTGATCCTTACGAAAAATGTTAAGAAATAAATTTCTCAAAAGGAAATTGATTTTGTAAAAGTGAATTTTTTTATTTTGCATTTTTGTGTATAATCTAGTTTACATTCCGACTGTATTGATTTTAGTTAAATATATTTATTCAGTTTTTCTTAATCCGATTATACTTGAAAGGTTCCCAAAATGGATTAAACGTATTTCTGGTAAAATATCCAATCAGAGAGATAATCGATATATTTCTAGTTTCAAACAAAAAATGCCTTTCTTGCTTCCTTCTGATTTACTTCATCGTCGTCTTGAGAAAGTAAAAAAATTCAACCAATTTTAAACTATCCACAAGGAAACTTTGAAAACAGTTTTATTAGACACTTATTAAATCACCAATTATGTGAAATGGGTCTGTTTACACAGCACAATTACTGTGTCTCATCCTTATTGGACTATTTGAAGTCATAACTTGAGTCTAAAAGTCGTCTTCCTATTCCAGAAACTGTAAGATCAAACCTGAAGCAACCGCTAGGTTAGAGACCTCTATCACAAGAAACATACACCATGGAACACCTAAATCTGATGCGTAAAAGTCACTGATTGAAAATGGGAAAGAAAAAAGATATGTCAGAAACCAAAAGCCGTGGAATGAAAGTTATATGTCTTCTTCCTTTTACTTCCGAAATATCGATAAGAACTTCACAATTTGCAATTGTTGTGACTAATATCTTTAAAAATGTTTGGAGCAGGAAACTCAATACTCAAAATCCCGATTGCTTAATCTCGAAATCCACGATGGACACTTTTAATTTGAGGACCTATGCTTAATCTTTTCAATTCAGTTATCCATTCATGGTATAATTTTACAATACATTTTTAATTGATCTGCACAAAAGATTGAGTTCCAAGCTAATGGCATGTTTTAGAAAGAGTTTAGTTGCAAATTACAATTTAAAGGGAGTGTTCGCGAAAAATATATGCTTATGGCGAAAATAATCGTAATTTGTTATATACAGGGTGTCCCACATCATATTAGATCGTCAATCGGTCTAAATTACGATTTTCGTGTCTAATCAGAAAATTTAAGAAGAATGAATCATTTTAATAAATTGGAAAAGGCTAATATAAAAATTTTCTTGCGGAAAATAATAGTTTTTTCGAGGTTATGGTTTTATTTTGGCGTTAAAGCTTGCAGATAATCTAATGTGATATGGGACGCTCTGCACAATGCACTTAAAACTAAAAGTAAGATTAGAAGCGATCTAAAACGATTATTTTTTGCCGTGTGCCTATACCTATTTCATTTTTTGCGAACACTCCCTTTAAGTCAGAGGTTTTAAAAGTATATTGAAGCAGCCTCTTTAACGACAGAAGCTACAATTTCAACCTTGCAATTTTAATAATAAACTTGAATGGGTAAAGTTATTAACTTGAAAGTGTGCGAAAAGTTTTGCACTTTTCTTGACAATTTGCAACTTTAGCTCAATTTAACATTTTGTTGCAAATATAAGGGTTTACATATTATTATTATTATTATTATTATTATTATCATTATGAATGGCTTATTTAATGATTTGGCAAAGAAACTAAAAAGTTTACTTCAGTTGCAGGTGCGGTATTCGTAGACAAAATTGAAAACTATCTAAAACGGACAAAAAAGTTTTAACTTAATTTCTTTTTAGTGACTATTTTTGGCGGGATTAGGGATAATTTTGTATTGTGAAGCCTTCTAACCACTCCTACTTGACTTATGAAAATAGTCGAACCAATCTGCATTTGAGTTTTAGTTTTATTTGGGATTTTACTAACTAACTAACTTGCAATTCAAAATTTTATTTAAAAATAAAAAATAAAAATTTGCCTATTTTTAAAAGCTTTCGCTTTTATTTTAAAACTAGCTGAAGGGCCCAGCGTTGCCCATGGAAAAAAAAATTTACAAAAATTTTGAAAAAATAGTAGAAAATTATACTATATACTTAATATATATACGAATGTCTTGTTTTATTATATAGATGTTCGTTCTCGAAACTATCTTTTTGAAAAAAAACTTTTTTTTTTTTTAAACTGTCGAAATTTAGTTTCATAATTTTCAAAAACAATCGTTTTCAAAAACGATCATTTCGTTTGCAGATTTTTTCTCTTGTTGAAATGAAACATTTCATCACTGGCTTAATTACTATTTCAGTTAATTTCCTTCTCAAAGTGGGTTTTACATGTCCTCATTTAGTCTTTTAGGATCCTGTTCTTAACATTCATTGGGGTTTTGGCCTTGTTCTCTTTGGTTTTGTTGGTTAATTTGGAGTTTTACCAACTTACGTTTTTTTATTAACAACCTCTATATTAGGTTTGATGTAGAGTATATTAGGCCAGGGCAAAGTGAATTCACTTTGATATTAGGGAGAGGTTTAGGAGGGGATTGTGAAGAGGAAGATAAGTAATGGAGGGGAAGGGTATATTAGGGAGGGGGAAGAGAGGATAAATTAGGAAGAGGGAGGGAAATGGGATGAACAAGGTTTGAAATGAGTTTGTTTAAATCTTTCTCATGATCTCACACTCACCCAGTAAACATCAAGGGAATATTAAATAGGATCCAGGGGATATTAATGGTTCTGATAAACACACAGACACCGGCATACACAGACACACTTATACACAGACACACTTAGACACAGACACACTTAGACACACACACACTTAGACACAAACACACTTAGACACAAACACAGAAACACCCCTACACAGACACTGACACCTTTTTACACAAACACAGCTACACACTTAGACACAGACTCACTTAGACACAGGCACACTTAGACACAGACTCACTTAGACACAGGAAAAGACACACTAGAAACAAACTCAGAAACAATTATACATAGACAAAGACACATAAGTGTATGCATATTTATCAAGTTACATATCTTAACTATTTTGTATATTTCAGTTATGTGCTTTAGACGAGTGTACCGTGTAAATGAGAAGATTGAAAATAAACATCTATAAAGAAAACTTGTTCATTATATTCACAAGTCTACCCATCGACAAAACTTGTTGTCTGGGTCTTATTGAAAGGAAACCTAAAACTGATTCCTCTCAATACACTGTCATTGGTAAATACAATTTACGAACTATACTCCTGCACTCTCATTGGAGAAAATAATGTATGGATATCCAAAGAGAGAGAAAAAGAGTAGATTAAGAACTAAAATTAAAAGTTTCCGCAGTGGATATTCGGATTAAGTAGTTGGGATTAAAGGTTATCCATTCTAAAGTTCCCAGCTCTGGACAAATAAACTTTTTTACAAACCAAAGATTCTTAGTATATTAGAGAGTCTTTGATACAAACGTTATACCTCCCCCCAGTCCTATAGTGTACTCTATACACAGGGTGTCCCAATAAACATGGGAATGAAGTGATGACTTTGCCCCATGCAGTATTGTGAAAACAATTTAATAGTAGCCCAGAGCTGGGAACTTTTGAATGGTGGATATCAGGATTAATGCTTGATCCACTCTTTTTCTTAATCTCCAGATTAAATATGGCTTGTTCTCCTCATGTTATTAATCTCCAGATTAATTAACCGATCGGGATTAAGGATATCCCATTCTAAAGTTTTCAGCTCAGTTAAAACAAATAACATCTATCTGCAACTATAGGTCTTGGGAATTCCAAAATGTGGTCTACAATTTTCAAACCTTCAAACGAGAAATCGGCCCAGATTCCCTTTTATTTCATTAAAATGTTTGCAATCTCCGTCAACTTAAAAAATATGAAGAATGCAGACCACATTTTGGAGAGCTTTCTTTTTATGAAACATTTCTGTCATTTATCAAATATCGGAAATGAAGAACGGTTTTCAAGTTGTCTCTCGATTTTCATTTTTATTGGAGCACCCATTACCTCCCCCCAGTCCTGTAGTGATCTCTCTATGGACCTCTCTCCCTCCTTATATCTATGATAATTGATCATGAGACTAAAGGAAGAATAACAAAAGAAACACTAGACTATTGATTACATCTCATGGGACCATCCATACTAGTTATAACATAATATAATATATAGTTATTATAATAAGGATGGATTGCTTAGCTTTCAACAAAAGATTTTTTCATCGAGGCTTCATACCTTTAGATAATGGGAATAATTTTTGCCAAAGACTGAAAATGAAATTTTTACATCGTTTCATGGTCTTTAAGTTACCAAAGGTTTTCCTTTATATCCTTAAATTGTTTTTCTTCTTCTTATATTTTTTAACAATTTTTTTATGTTTTTCCCCCTTATTTTTTTTTAAATAAATTTATTGATACATGTTTTTAATGCAGAATGCAGGTTATCATTTTTCCAATCTTCTAAAAGACCTCCTAGCCCTTCTGGTAGGTTCAAGGTGAATTAGATGTACTCCCTAGGAAAGGAACACCCATGATACCAATGATGATCTCTCTAAGAAAGTTT